CCCGGCACTCGCGATCCTGGAGCAGGTACCGGCCTGGCGGACCGTGGCGGGCTGTGCCTTACGCCCGAAGCTCCATTGATGCGGCCCGTACCTATGATGGTGGACAGGCGCTTCGAGCGCCTTGCACAGCATGCTGGGACTTGTAGTTCGATAGGCCGCATGGGCTCCGAGGGAGTTCCTCTGTCAGCTGGGAAAAGGGAGGATTAGATGTGTTGGTCACAAAGCGACCTTCCTTACAGTTCCAAGGTGTTTTGAGTATTTGAAAAAAAAAGGCGAATTGGGCGCAAGAGAAGTGGCCAGTTAACTACAACTCCCGGCAGCCCCTCCAACTGGGGTCAGTGACGCACTTCCGGCAGGTGGCTTGCAGCTTGGGGGCTGCTTTTTGGCCATCGAGGAACAGGCCCAGGGGGTCAATAGCCTTTTGACGCCGCTCCGGCTTGGTCAGCCATCCAGCGTCGCTTTTCTCTGGCCTCACTCCTGGGCAGGAAGCCGCTGGGTTAACTTTGGCACCTCGTGGCCTCCTAGGCAGCGCTGCGGGCTACGGGAATCAGGGGAGGGCACTTTCCTAATTTTTTAAGTTTCTTAGGAGATGAGAGGGTCGAGGCCCTCCCTGGTGGTCACGGTGACTACTCTGCACAGCTGTCCCCAGCTGTTGTTTGCATCAGTGTCTGATGACGCTCCTCTTCTGGTTACAGAGCACAGTCTTTTTTTTTGCTGGGACTCGAGAGGCCATTTGCTGTGGTCACGGATTCTGTACACTAATGTTGATCAAACCCTGATTTGCCGAAGAAGCACCTCGTTTTGGCGGGGCGGGGGTGAGGGAGGAAGTTTTAAAAAATACAGATTGCTGGTCGCCATACAGAGATTAATGCATGGTTACGACGCCTCCTGTGAGAATCAGGCAAGCTCTTACTCTGAGTTCAAAGTCCCTTTGGACTTCCAGAGTTAAACATAGGCTTCTTGTTCATTTTGTAATCGGAGTGGTTCAGTAAATCCTTTTCAGTTAAAAACGGCATGCTTTTTGGGAGCTATGTCATCTAAATAATGAACACTCAGGCTATGCTAGCACCGTGTTAAGTGCATTTCCTTATGGATATTATACTGTTTAATCCTCACAGCAAGCACTGTTATTCCCAGTTTGCAGATGAGGATAAGTTGCAGCGCAAAAACAGCAGAGCATACAGTTTTACCAAAACCAGTAGCATGAATTGGTGTTAAAAGCACCAAATGTGGAGGATATTGTTTTTCTATCTTACTTTATGTCTTCAGGCAGACCCTACCCTTTTAGATCTTCATTTATTCGCTTGTAGAATGCTGGGGTTAGTCGTTCTAAACCCTGGTTATTTATCAGAAGCCCATGGGGAGCTTTATAAAAGTAATATTTGGGCCCTGCTAGTGTAGCTCAGTGGTTGATCATAGACCTATGAACCAGGAGGTCACAGTTGGATTCCCCGTGAGGGCACATGCCCAGGTTGTGGGCTCCATCCCCAGTGGGGGGGCTTGCAGGAGGCAGCTGATAAATGATTCTCTCTCATCATTGATATTTCTATCTCTCTTTTGGGATCACATCCCCAGGGATTCTGATTCAGAACTGGAGTGAACCTAGAATTTTTATTTTTAAGCTGTTCCCCAAATGATTCTTGATTATCAGCCTAGAACCAATATTAGATCTTTACATAATGAATCAGTTCATAATATTTGGTGATTTTGATTGACAGGGTGACTATTTGTTTTAGAAAAGGACTTTTGAGATTAATTCATTTTCAGAGGTTGCCATGCCATTTTTAAGGTATTTAAACGTATTGTCAAAGTTCACCATGTAATGAAATCCCAGGCAATCTTTTTCTTAAAAGTGAGGAATATTTAAGAGAAAAATCTCCTCCATTTACAAATCTGGATTTTTATGTATTGGTTTTACTTCTGTAATTAGTGGAGGTATAGACTCCATAGAATACAGACCTTAGTAACATACAGATGTGTTTGATTTCTGAAGCTGTCACATCTTAATAGTTGTCTGTACTTATTTAACTGAAACTCATCTATTAAAATGGGATAATATGATATATATGTAAAACACTGATAATAGCGTGCAGAACATTGTACTTGTCCTATAATAGTAGCTATTATTATAGTTTAAAAATGGTTAAAAGCTGTAAAGACCTATGAATTTAAATAATGTTCAGCAAGAATTAAAATGGAGGTTGACTTATCTTGATAATCAGTTTCAAGGTAGAGATAAAAAAAGATTTTTATTGGTTAAACCCTCTTCCTGATAATACCATCCCTCAGGCCTTTGCTATTCCTTGTTCAGCCCAAGAGTACAAAGTTTCCAAAGATTTCCTGTATCAGAATCACCTGGGGATGTTTGTTGAAAGTGCACATTCCCAGATCATGTGGAAACCTACTGCATCTGAATCTTTTGCATGTTAAAGTTTTTAAGAACTGCTGAGTATTCAGAGGGCATGTGGTTCTTTGTTTTAGGACACAGACAAGCTACCTCCATAGTTCCTTTTGATGCTGCCCTTCAGAGCTGCACTAATGGGTGAGATCAATTCGAAGGGCCTTGCCCTTAAGAACTTTACTTGGCCTTCTGTCCCACCACCAGTAGCATAGGCTGAGTGGGTTTCTATTACCATTAACATCTTTCTTTTTATGCTCCTTATTTTGTTTTCTTCAGTGTTGCAATAAGCAGAATGAAGATCAAAAGAAATCAAAACAGTGAACAGACCAAAGAGAAGTAATAGAGTGAAACAGTGAACAGACCAAAGAGAAGTAATAGTGAACAAGTGTGTGTGTGTGTGTGTGTGTGTGTGTGTGTGTATTTAGGGGGGGGGGCGGAGTGGAAGCTTTTACACAGTACAAATAAATGAACATAACTTCAGACAGTAGTAAATTTATGAAAACAAAATAGGATAGGATGGTGGTGTGTGTGTGTAGTGTTACTTTAAATTGGGTTGTCAGGGATGACATTTGAGCTGCTCCTGAATATTAAGGAGTCAGCCATGGAAATATCTGAAGTCATATCTGGAAGCAGTCCTAGGGTTGTTAAAAGAGTGACCTAGGGGGTTACCACAACATGATTTTAACCAGGTGCAAAGGAGCTTGGTATAATTGGGGACTAGAATGAAGGCCTATTAGAGTACACAGTGAGTTCTGGGAGGGAGATAAAGTTGGGGAGGGGGGAGTAGATAAGGGACATATTATATAGGGCTTATAGGCCATGGGTAGGGAGTAATAGGGAATTTAGTGTCATTGTAGGGAGTTGGATCTTATTGTAAGTGTGGCAAGAAGCTTTTGGAGAGCTTTGGGCAGGAGAATGACTTGATCTGTTCTACTTTTTTTCCTCCCCCCAGAGATTGGGGGTAGTGTAACAGCAAAGAAACCCTGATTGGAGGCAGTAATGCAGAGGAAAGACAAGAGAACTAGTGTAAAGATTAGGAATCTATTTTGTAGGTAGGTAGAGCTGACAGGGCTTGCTGATGAGCTATTTCTTTGCCAATCTATTTCTTAAAGTATTTTCTCTCCACATTTTCTTTTTCACAAGTTGACAGCTATGTGGTGATAGGTAAGACTGATACAGCTTACATCTTACCTCCTGCCCACGTCTAACTATTAAATTTAGGAATGGGGGAAGCACACAGAAGCATGAGTAAAGCTGAGAGTTTTTTATAGTTGCTTAATTAACCGGGAATTAAAAAGATCTGGAAGAGCCCCCAGCATATATTTTTTATTAACTCCACCTGCTCATTTATATGATCTCTTCATTCTTTGGGAACTAGGCTTGTATGTTGTCTTTCACTCCTCTTCCTCTGGCCTCCTCTTTATGAGGATATATTTTCCTTAATTCCCAAGATAGCTTACCATCTGACTTTTCCTCAAATCTTTCTTCAGAATTTATTTTGTCCATCCCTTTCAATCACACTGGGACCCAGTCAAAATAGTACAAGAGTGCTGACATTTTCAAATGCTCAGGGTTTCTTGCCTGCAGTGCTTCTGTTTGTTTTTAAGTGGGCAAGAAGGTTTTTTTGTTTTTTCTAATAGATCTTGCCACCTCACTCCTTTATCTGCCTTTTATGTCAGTATAGAACAGCGGTTCTCAACGTGTGGGTCGTGACCCCTTTGGGGGTTGAATGACCCTTTCACAGGGGTCGCCTAAGACCATCGGAAAACACATATATAATTACATATTGTTTTTGTGATGAATTGCTATGCTTTAATTATGTTCAATTTGTAACAGTGAAATTGGGGGTCACGAGAGGAAACCAAGATGGCGGCATAGGTAAACACTGGAAATTGCTGCCTTGCACAACAACTTCAAAAATACAACTAAAAGACAAAACGGACATCATCCAGAACCACAGGAAGGCTGGCTGAGTGGAAATTCTACAACAAGAAGGAAAGAGAAAAGCACACTGAGACTCAGAAGAGGTGCGTAAGTAAAGTGTAGAGGTACGGAGGCGCACGTGGAAAGGGCTGGCAACTGAGGACACGGTTGTCTTTTTCCATCGGGAGGGAGTCTCCAGCTCCCGACTGCTCTGAACTCTAGTTCTGGGCGAGTCTCTGGGGACCCAGACTCATACAGGGAGAAACTGGACTGTCTGGCATCGGTCAGAACTCGAGGGCGGCTTTCTCTCAGAGGTGCTTGGAGCGATTACCAGGACACTGAGACCTGGGGCTTCTTAGGGTAAGACTGAGGAGCAGCCATAGCTGCTTGCTCCGCCCTGTTGATCCCCTGAGACCCCACCCCACCCAAGAGGCTTTTGTATATGAAAGGCCTGGCCCTTTGCAATCTGAAAATTACCTAACAAACTGTAGCTGGGTCAGAGAGACCCAGAACTGCCAAAAGAAGGCCCAAGGCCCCACAGCAGCTTGCATTGCTTCACAGCTGGGCCTCATCTGGGCACCTCCAAACCCCAAACAAAGAAGAGGAATCTGCAGATCTCTCCATAGCTCCTGCTGGGTAGCCTCAGGCAGAGGCTAAATTAGCACCTCCTTAGAGATCCAAGAGCCAGTGTACCCAGTGGTCAGAGTGGGACCATCCAGATTACAACTCCTCAGATCCATAAGGGACACACTCAGGGGGCAGACTCAGTGAGCACCAAAGCCCCACTGAAGCAAGTCTTGCCCCAGAAGGGTGTCTCCAGCACAGAAGTTCTCCCACTGCAGACACAGCTGATTCTCACTGCCAATTGGCCTGGAGGTCAATTCCTCCCAGTGACACCTAAAACAATCAAGGCATAACTACAACAAGACTGTGCACAAAGCCCACAAAGGGGTGCAACAAGAGTGTCCACCTCAGGTAATTGGGGAGGCTGAGCCACTGGGCCCTATAAGATACCTAGCACACAAAGCCACTCTATCAACACAGGGAAGCATAAAAAATGCAGAGA